TTTTTAGTAGAGATGTATAGAGTATAGATGCATAGGAACATGTGCAAATTGTTTGAGACAAATATCTATTAAATATTTATAATCATAAATGCATCAATTGTATTGATGAGCATCAAAATCCAATAATTTATTCTTCACTTATTCAGAATATATTGATGCCACCTCTTCAGAGACCAGCTTGAAGCAGCTTACATAGTAAAAGAGATAAACTCATTAAAAATTAAATTTAACAAATATTAAAAGCCCATCCTTCCTCCCAAAAAACAACAACCTAAAAGCACACACACACAAAAAAAACAATATTGGAACACATATTATAAAACATTTAGGAGTCATAACAGGCTAGAAACAGACTAAAAATAAATTGAAATATCAATCCCCTAATTAAAAGTTTTGGTTAAAAAAAAGCATTTGACTTGGAACCTAAAAGACAGTAAGATGGTAGCGTTCCCAAATCAAGTTTTGTTCTGTTGAAGCATTCTATCATATGTATACCATTTGTTCTTAGAAGACATTAATGTCCATATATTGACAAGATAACCCAGCATTCTTACTGTAGAATTTCAAAGATACACACTATTGAATTTATCATGCTAAAAAAAGAATAACAGACATTTGGTGCTTGCAACATCGTCTCCCCTTCAAAAGTTTGGACAGCGCAGATCTAATCTCTTGGTTTCTCATGCTGTAGATCACCGGATTCATCATGGGTGGTAACATGGAATATAGGACAGCAATCATCATAACCACATCTTTGGGAGCTTTGCATGTGGGGCACACATAGGCAAGGGTGCCTGTGATGATAAACAAAGAGACAACAATGAGGTGGGGCAAGCAGGTAGAAAGAGCTTTCTTCCTTCCTTGCCCAGAGGGGATTCTTAGCACATTGGTGAAGATTTGCACATAAGAAAAAAGAATGAAGACAAAACAGCCAAAGGCTATACCTGCACCAAATATATTGACCCCAAATTCCACTGAATAATTGTTGTCACAGGACAGTTTGAGCAGCTGTGGAATTTCACAGAAGAATTGGTTAATGACATTGGAGCAGAAGGTTATTGAGAAGGTGCCATGGATATGTAAGGCAGCATAGAACATGCCGGTGATCCATGCACCAGCTGCCATTTGGATGCAGGTTCCCCTATTCATTACTGTTTCATATCGTAGTGGATTGCATATCGCAATGTATCGGTCATAAGCCATGATGGTGAGGAGGAACAGGTCAGTCAGTGCAAAGAAGATGAGAGAAAAGACTTGGGAAACACATTCTGTATAGGAAATGAGCCTGGTATTTCTGAGAGAATTGCTCATGGCTTTGGGAATGTTCACTGAGATGTTGCCAATGTCTGCAATGGATAAATTGACCAGGAAAAAATACATGGGTGTGTGAAGGTGGTGGTTGAGAGCTACTAGTATGATGATGAGAAGATTTCCCATGATGCTTGTCAAATAAAGCAGAAGGAAGATCACAAAGTGTAAAATCTGTAGCTGCCGGGTATCAGAGAATCCCAGAAGAAAGAAAACCATTTCTGTGGTTTGGTTGAGCATTTTGTTCCCTGTTGAAAGAATGAGAAAGACAATAGGCTGCATTTTTTGGAAGGTTAAACAGAAATCAATCGTCACCTTTAAAAATAACCACATTTTATTTCAGCATAAGCTTTCATCAGCTGGACCTCAGAATCTTCAGGTGCCTAATAGTAAAGTCTGACTCTCCTTCACAAACGTTTGCATTGATTTCTGTTTTACAACAGATTCACGTGGCTGCTCTTTTGATAGCATTTTTGGGAAAACAGGATACCTTTTATGCATTTTAGCATTAATCTGTGTTATTTCACTACCTGGAAGTGTGGTAAAGCAAGAAGACAACATTAGCCGGTTAACATTTCTTCAATGTCAGAGCCTCAATACTGCACTGAAACATGAGGAAATAAAAAATTAAGATAATTAAGAACGAAGTAAGGATGAAAGTTATGTTTAGAAATCACTAATCTGATCAGTGCTCTTTTACTTTCTTTGAAATTTCACATATGTTTTCTGTGATCAAGAATAAATGATACATTTTACTTTAAATAAAATGTCGGTAGCTACTTCATGACAAACAGTGTAGGGGGGGGGACCCCTAAAGTGGTAGGAATTCTTAACAGAGATGTCATGCAAATATTCTTTTGCGATGGAAAATTTGAAATAAGAAAAAAAAGAACAATGTTACATTTTACTGCCCACTCAATATTGTGTGACCCTCAAACTCAGTCTCTAACTCCCGAATTGTTTAGAGGAGTGGGTGTGTAATAACCCACAATTTGTTTGTTTGACTGAATCCAGCAGCTTTTCTCTTGGTGCTAGATGGAAGACAGGCTGTGTTTATCTGCCACAAAGGGTATTGTGGGACTCATATGAAGAAAAGTTATACCGAATGATGCTGCAGGAAGGAGAGGAATTCAGTGAGGTCACCTCTCCTCTTTCTTTTGCAGAAGGATAATCTAGTAGGATACATCCAGGTGGCACCTTTAAGACCTACAAAGGTTTATTAAAGGTATACCCACAAAAGCTCATACCTTGAATAAACCTTTGTAGGTTTTAAAGGTGCCACTGGACTCTAAATTTGTTCTACTAGTAGGATACAGTTCATTACATTTGTATCCCACTTTTCCTGAATTGTGAGATTGCTTACATAGTATTCACAGAAGGTCTCTAATTCAGCCACTGATCAGACCAGATCCAGAGCAGATTAGAAACAATAAATAGAGAGTTTCAGATTCTAATTCTTCTTCTACTTACCAGCCACTGCTCTTAAATCTATCAGGAAGGAATATGCATGTGTTGCAGAAGACATAAGCAATAAGAATGTTTTGCTTGTTAACCCAATAGATCCTTTCTTCTTTTTGTTCTCTTTTGGCCCTTAGGAGACCTGTTCACTGGGGATTATAACAGCTCACTGAAGAAGCTCAGTGATGAATTTTTTTTTTTTTCGGTAAACAATTTTTTTATTTTTCTCAGGAATACATCATGTACAGTTAAAACATTTCATTCTATCATTTGTCTACCCCATTCCCAATTCCTCCCCTCCCTCCAGTGGCTTCCCGCAATGCTTCCACCCCTACTCCCAATTACTTCGTATCATCAACTATATCAATTTCTTATTATTACAATCTAAAGATAACATCATTTGACTTAATATTGATCTAAACATATTAAGTTTTGTTTCACATCCCAGTTCTTTTCCAGATATATTTTAAAGTCACTCCATTCTTGAAAAAACACGTCCTCTTCTTTATTGTTCAGTTTCTTCGTAATTTTATCCATCTCTGCCATGAACAGAACTTTTTGTATCCAGTCCTCAATTTCTGGCACTTTCTCTGTTTTCCAAAATTGTGCATAAATCATTCTCGCTGTTGTGATTAAGTACCAGAATATAGTCTTTTTAGTTGTATTGACTTCTTCCATTTTTAATCCCAAAAGCAGAATTTCCGGTGCCTTTTTAAAAGAGCATTTCAGAATTTTTTGCATTTCTTTGTGGACTTTTGTCCAAAAGTCAACTGCTTTCTCACAAGTCCACCACATATGATAAAATGAGCCTTCATGGCTTTTACATTTCCAACACTTATTTGACATATTCTGGTTCATATTTGCAATTTTTTTCGGAGTCATGTACCACCTATACATCATTTTATAACAACTCTCTCTAACATTGGTACAAGGCGATATCTTAATAGAATTTTTCCACAAATAT